TGCTGTATGGATTGGCTATGGTGGTAATTACCAATCAGTCATTAAATAACTGAAAGCTAGACAGTTGATGAGAAAGGAATCAATTGTCACTCAGGGTTATTTTTGGTTTCTTAATCTGTGTCTGAGCATATGGGATAGTAGCTGAAGTAGTTTAACAGTGACAGAATGTATTTCAGCAGGGCAGACTTAAAAACAGCCTATTTTCTTTTTATTCCACAGTAATATTTTTATACCTCTGTTAAAAATAACGTTAGCCACTTAAATTAAGTGAAGGTAGCCTTGGCCATTTAGCAGCATACATGGCATTTACTCCTCATTGTCACCTAGTTTAAGCATGTTTATGTGTGGGTGTTTCATAGTTCAGACATATTAACACAGCATTGGACTCAGTGAGGGCTCAGTGTGGGAAAACCTGGCCTCTGTGACTTAGCTCTTGGGCTCTACGTGAGTAGCTTTCCACCACAGCAGCTTCTGGCTTGCCTCGGGTGGTCTGGATAAATCTCTGCTATGGCAGAGTCTTATGGCATTGGTAAATGTAGTGTAATCTACTTTGGTAAATGTAGTGTAATCTTTATGCACTAGTTCTCTGAAGGGCCTCTTCTCAAAGATGGAGGCAAGTTCCTTTTCTTCAGTGGGCGCTTGGCACGGGAACCACTTTGAGAGGAGGTGGTGGGAGGGACACTGACTGGCTCATAACAGGCACCTCGGTGTCTCCTTGCTCCCTGTTTGGCTCCCTATGCCCTGTGTGGGCAGCCAGCCACTGTGTTGAGGGACACTGAACAGTCCCGTGGAGAGGTCTCTGGGAGGGCATTGAGGCCTCTGGCAGTGGTCATGCTCACTTTCTGTTTATTTATCCCTATTTTGGAACAGAGACAGTTGTAGCTGGAGTTGTAGTAAGGGATTTTCTTTTAACAGCGACTCCAGTAAATTAGCCTTCTAGATCTGCTGTTTCTGAAAACAGTGTTTTTAAAATGTCATTGGCATTGTATGTGCTAAGAGTCAGGGCATGTAGCTCCTGTGCCATCTAATTCTGATGGTGAGAAGAGTTGCTAGTCCATTCCCTGGATTTTGTGCAGGGCCTTAATTCTGACTAAGACTGCTTCTTCTGTGTGCCATGTATGAACAGTGTGGTGAATAAACTCTTCAGTATAGCAACTTTACCCTTCAGGATGAGAACTTAGAAGGAGTTGGGGAGGGAGGGATGGGTAGGAGGATAGGGAAAGATTAGAAATGAGGCCAGAGGACACAGGAAGATCATACAAACTTTGGGAAACTGTTGAAGACAAGAGGAAAAGACAGAACTAAAGAACCAAAGACAAGAACAGAACAAACTAACAGCAATAGGGAAGCTGGAAACTATTCAATTTCCTATAAAACTAATGACAATCGAGAGAAGAAAAAAAGAAAGAAAAAAAATCCAAAGTAAGACAGGAACAGGAACAAAAAAGGAGAGAAATGAATAACAAGAGAGAGCAAGAGAGAGAAAGAGAAAGAGAGAGAGAGGAGAAAAAAAAAGAAAAAATAAATTTGAAAAAATAAATTAAAAATAGAAAAAAATTAACTTTGAAAAAAGTAAAAATGAAGGGCCTCCTTCAGAGTATGACTCTGCTGTCACAATAGACAATGTGGGCAGCAGTGTGCAGATCTAAGTCAATTAATCTCAGCAAGCCAGCCACAATCCACTGAGATTCAGGCTGATTTCTGGCTGCAAGGCCCAAGTTGAGCTCCCTGACCTCCTGCTGGATTGAACGCTACAAGGTTCTACTACAGGTTCCAGCTGCCCTTCCCCCGAAGATAGTCCAGTTTTCCATGGGAGGTGCTTATTCCTCAAACTTCTGGCGGTCTGGTGTGCCTTCTTTCCCAGTGGGCTTCAGTTTTCATCAAGGAGCCTCCGAGAGCCCCTCTCTCTATTGTTCACTTCTGCTCTATCTTCTGGAGCTCAGAACAATGGCCTTTATTGACCCCCTGTGCCTCTGTCGTGTGGATCCAGGTACCAGCGCAGCCCTGTGGCCAGAGGCTGGGGGGGGGGGCGTTGTGCTGCTGGCCTGTATGAACAGTGTGGACAGGACCACATACAGATGTATCCCATAACCATAACCACCAGCGTGATAAGTTGGTAAGTGAGAGGAGGGAAACTCAACTCAAGTTCTCACTGTCTGGGAGAGAATCCAGTGCCTTAGTTCAGGCCATCTTGTTCTTTCTGGGGGTGGCATATGGATGTGTCCGACACTCTGGTTCACAAGGTAAAGGCAGGCAGCCAGCAGCCTCCACATGTTTCTTGATTTGGCTGGCAGCAAATCCCAGACCTCTGGCAAAATCTCCCTAACAGAGCCCAGCTTTCTGTGAGAACTCCTGGCCCTTGCTTCTGTACGTTTCTGACCCATCTTGGCAAGTCATTCTGCACGCTCCTTTATAGCCGAGAGACAAAGCAGAGCTGGTCTGTGTCCTGGGAACCAGAGCAAGCTTACAGGATTGCAGACTTTGAATTCATTGTAGCTTCTGATCCAGCATAAATCCTGCAGTCCTTTTCTAATCTCAACCAGTTCATACTTGTCACTGCAAAGAGGACCTCTCTGTCAGTGTATCATTTCTCTCCTAAAGGGAAAAAGCACTGAGCTATTGGTGCCCAGCCTGGATGCCAGTGGATCCTGGGTGTGAGAGCCTTCTCTGTATGTTTGCATCTGGTACCTCGCTGTTTTTAAGCAGAGCTGGTGCGTGTGACTGTGGAAGGGCTGTGGAAACACCTTCCCCTGGGAAGTGGGCAGAGCCAGTGAGAGCAAAGTAAGCAGGACAGGGACTCTTTTCAGCTGCATTTGTTTTTGTGCAACTACACTTTATGCTCTGGAGAAGCAGGAGAAATACGAGACAACTCTGATACCTGCATATGGTCTGGGATCCTCTTGAATACCACATGCTTGTGCACAGGTAGCAATTATGAAAAATCACCAAGTGAGTGAACTCATCTGCTTTCAAAAGTGCTGGACCAAGGGAGTGTCAAAGAAGTTGGTAAGTGGGGTAAAAGACCCCACAGCATTGGCCAGGCCTAGGTGGGCCCAGGCTGTACTTCCTTCATCCCCAAGTCCCTCCAGTGTGGGCTCCTCCTGGCTGGCCCGCCTTACTCCACTGGCCCATCCTTCTGATCTCTGCACAACAGCATGAATGATGTGCGCATTGGGTTTCTGGCATTCTAGACCACAGCCAGCCTTGTCAGGCCCTGCCAGCAGCCACACATATTACTTCTCAGAGGCTAGTTTCAGCCTCTTAGCAGCTGTGTGACCTGGACAAGTTGTTTAACCTCTCTGATCTGAAGTGCTCATTGTAAGTGCTCATTGAAATGCCAGGGTTGCTGCTAGCTGAGCGGTGCCCATGCACAGCACTAGTCCTCCTGTCTTGTCTTGTGTCCAGCATGGGTTTATGGTGGGTGTGGCTCTTGGGAAGAGGGAAGGGAGGGTTCCCTTTGTGGGAAGAAAAAAAATGTTGACTTTTTGAGAAAGCTGATAGTTGACCTGATTTGGTGAATGCCAGAGATAATGACTTGATTATAGAGTCACAGCCCCTGGGAAAAATTGGCTTTTGGTTTTGCTAAAGTATGAGGTTAAATAGTTTGATTCAGTAGCCAGTGTAGGTTGGAAGCCAGATGCCTATGGGGGAAAATTGTCAACCACAAAATGCTACAAGCAAGTGACAGAATGAAAATCAGTGCTTAATTAAAAGTTCACCAGTATGACTCTGGCAGCTTCATTATACCTGGTGATTTAGTCTTACACAGAGTCCTTCTGCTGTGAAGCCCGTTGGTCAGTTAGATTTCCTCACTGCTGCAATTCACCAGGGCTGCTGTGAAATCATTGTTGGTAGTAAATTGGAAGTTTAATAATAACCACATAGTCTCAAAACCAAGAAAGTTTTAAAATTGGGATACAGATGTATTCCAATATGTTTGTTACTTCATGCTTTTGAACCTCCCAAAGGATAAGGCGCCTGAGGGCCTGAAAAGAGACCTGAAGCCCAGAGGCAAGGCCAGGAGCCCTAGGGCTCTGGTTGTCTCTTCTGTGCCCTACGCTGCTTGGTCAATACACTTTAGAGGGCCTGGGAGGAAACTCTGGGCTGGCTTCCCTTTGAGCTTCCCTTTAGTTACTGTACCTTTTGAGCAGAAAGGCACATTACCAGCTGAGCAACCTGTGGCCCGGACCCCATAGCCCAGTCCTTGAGGACCACCCCTTGCAGATCTTGCTCCAAGTAGGTCACATGGGCCACACTGGTCTGGAGGCACTGCCAGAACCTATGGCCAGCTGGTAGAGCCCTCACGGAGGACTCCCGCTGCATGGCATCCAGTGACACTGACTCAGGAAATGGCCAGAGGACATCTCTGAACCTGTGGGATGATTCTAATTTGGATTACATACCGAAATCTTTCTTATTTTACTCACAGAAATCAGATCCAAGTGGATGGAAAATGCATTTAGTTCTGTGGTCATGGAGCTGTTATTTAATGTTGATAAATTAGAGCAAGTTGTTTGCCCAGACGAGTCGGATAAATTCCACCAGAACTCAGGTCTTGCTTGGATTTTGCACTTCGTCCTAACTGCAGCTCAGTTCCATGGCAGTCCCATCTGTGAGCCCTGGGATCTCCCCCTGGTATCTAGTCAGAAGGATTAAATAAGGTCAGTTAACACTTATGGTGGGAGTTTAGAGGGATCCAGGGAGGAATCATAAACTATCTGAGGTGTCAGAGAATTACCTACATGTCAGAGCCTTTGACCACCTGTATCCCTGTGTTCCTCCCCTCAGAGCTCTGGGGGTTCTGCTGAAGTCCTTCCGTGGTGGAAAGGCCATCCCCCTGCGTCCTGACCACCTAATGACCCTGTAGTGGGGCCATCAGGATGGGCCCCCTTGCTCACCCTGTGTGCCCAGAGCTGAAATCAGAAGACAGATTGCCTGGAACTGGTGATTGAAGGTGTGCTCAGAACCAACAGACTGATTTGGTGTGTTTATTTTCCCAGGAGGACTGGAATGAAATTGACTCTATTAAAAAGAAAGACCTTCACCACAGCAATGGAGATGAGAAAGCACAGAGCGTGGAGACCCTCCCTCCAGGTACTACACCAGGGCCCTGTGCCCATGTCACTGCGAATGGCTGGAATGTGAGGCTTGGAACCTGTGGCCAGTGGATGGAGCTCGGGTTCCACGAGCCAGCTGGACATGGCCCAGGGCACTGCTTTGATTTTTTTTTGTCAGCTTCATTTGCGGGTGGTAAAATTAAAAGTTTAGTGGGAGGTGACCCAGATTTGTTGTAAGCAAAAATAGAATAAAACAAAACATAGAGTGTATGTATTCTTTCATGAAATTTTAAAAGACAGACTATATTTTAGAGCAGTTTTAGGTTCACAGCAAAATGGGGGAAGGTGCAGAGGGTTTCCATGTGCCCCCTGCCCCTTCATAAGCACAGCCTCTCCTTTTTACATCCTGCACAGAGAGAGACAGTCTACAAGACCCACGTGGCCTCTAGACTATGACCTAGAGTCCATGGTTCACCCTGGGGCTCACTCTTACTGGTGTACTCTTGGTGGCTTATATCTTGATGTCCCCCCAAAGCCTCATGTCCTTGTAGATGGGGCCTTTGAAAGTGACCAGATTGTGGGTGTGTGATACTGGAATAGTTCATGGATTGGCTTATAGCTCTGGTGTGGATGATGGACTTACTGAAGAGGGAAGACCCACCCTGGGTATGGGTGGCACCAGTAGGCTTGTAAGTCTGGATGGAATTAAAAGAGAAACAAGGAAGATTTGTTGCTTCCTGCCTGCCTTGCCATAAGCTTTCTTCTCTCCCAGGCCCCCTTTCCATGCCACCCTGTCTAGGAGCCAACCAACTATTAGACTAAAACCTCTACGAACTGTACGCTAAAGTACATCTTTCCTCCTTTAACTTGTGCGTGTCAAGTATTTTGTCCCACCGGTGAGAATGTGACTGAGGTAGGTTATGACAGATATATAATGGATGTCGTTGTAGTATCATGAAACAGTTTCACTGCCCTGAAAATCCTGAGTGCTCCCTCTGTTTACCTCTCCTTCCCCTCCCTCACGGCAACCACAGATCTTTCTACTGTCTCCATAATTTTGCCTTTTCCTGGATATCATACAGTTGGAATCCTATATTATAGAGCCTTTTCAGATAGACTTCTTATACTTAAGGTTTCTCTGTGCCTTTCATGGCTTGATGGCATATTTAGTTTTAGCACTGAATAATATTCCATTGTCTAGATGTCCCATAGTTTATTTTTCCATTCAACTTGTGAGGGACATCTTGGTTGCTTCTAAGTTTGGGCAATTATGAATAAAGCTACTATAAATATCCACACACAGGTTTTTGTGTAGGCCTAAGTTTTCAAATCATTTCAGTAAATACCAAGGAGCACAACATATGGTAAGAATATGTTCAGTTTTGTAAGAAATTGCCAGACTGTCCTCCAAAGTGGCTGCTTCATTCTGTACTCTCACCAGCATTTGGTGTTGTCAGTGTTCTGGAGTTTGACCTTTCGTATATGTAAGTGTGCAGTAGTATTTCACTGTAGTTTTAAATTGCAATTCCCTAATGACATATGTGTGGAGCACCTTTTTATATGTCTCTTTGTCATCTCTGTATCTTTGGTGAGATGTTTCAGTCTTTTGTCCATGTTTTGATTGGGCTGTTCATTTTTTATTTTGAGTTTTAAGAGTTTTATATATAAATATGTAGAGGAATAGTCCTTCATCATCTGCATTTTGCTTTTTTTTCCCCCAGTCTGTGGCATATCTTCTCATTCTCTTGGTAGTATCTTTCCTAGGGCAGAGAAGTTTTAGATTTTTTTGAAGTGTAGCTCTTCCGATGTTTCTTTCATGGGTCACGCCTTTGGTGTTGTCTTTAATTATCATTAAACACAAGGTCACCTAGATTTTCTCCTCATTGCCTTCTAGGAGTTTTATAGTTTGGGTTTTTGTGAAGGATGTAAGGTCTAAGTTTAGATCCATCCATTTGTCTGTATATGTCCACTTGTCCCAGCATCATTTGTTGGAAGAATCTTTTTCCATTGTACTTTTTTTATAGTTTATCAAAGATCAGCTGACTATACTTATATGTATCTTTCTCTGGGCTTTCTATTCAGTTCATTTGAGATATATTTTTTCTATTTTTTGGTCAATACTGCACTAATTAGGTTATTGTAACCTAATAGTAGGTCTTGAATTAGGCTAGTGTCAATCCTCTGGCTTTTTTCTTCTTTCAGACAGCATTGGCACTTCTGAATCTTTTGTTGTTCCATATGAACTTTAGAATCAGTTTTTGATATCTACAAAGCAATTTGCTGGGGTTTTGGTTGGGATGGTGTTGAACCTTAGATCAAGTTGGGAAAACTGGTATCTTGACAACATTGTATCTTCCTATCATGAACTCTTTTGAGTTCTTTGATATCTTTCATCAGTTTTATTGTTTTCTTCATGCAGATCTTAAATATATTTTATTAGATTTTAACTTAAGTATTTCACTATTGTGCAGTACTAAATAAATTTCGTTGTGTTTTTAATTTCAGATTCTCTTTCTTGCTAAATACAGGAAAGTGATTGACCTTTGTATATTAACTTTGTATCCTACAGTCTTGCTATAGTTGCTTCCAGATGTTCTGTCGATTCATTCAGAGTTTTCTACATAGACAACCATGTCATCTGTAAACAGAGACAATTTTATTTTTTTCTTCTTTTTCTTTTTCTTATCTTCCTGCATTAACTAGGACTTTCAGTGGAGTGTTGAAAAGGAGTTGTCAAAGGGGACACCCTTGAGGTTTTCACCATTATTATGGTGTTGTGGATTTTTTGCAGGTGTTCTTTTATCAAGTTGAGGAAGTTCTCCCTCTAATCTTAGTTTGCTGACAGTTTCTCTCATGAAGTAGTGCTGGGTTTTGTTGAATGCTTTTACTGCATCTGTTGATAGGATCATAAGATTTATTGTTTAGCCTGTTGATATTATGTATTGCATTAATTGTGATTTGCATTTATCCAGTCAGCCCTATATAACTAGGAAAAATCCCACTTGGTTGTGATATATAATCCTTATTATACATTGGTGGGTTTGACTTACTAATCCTTTGTTGAGGAGTTTTGCATATGTTCGCAAGAGATGTTATTCTGTAGTTTTGTTTTCTTTTTCTTTTTAGTTTTTTTTTTTTTTAAAGACTTGGCCTGGACAGGGATTGAATTTATGATCTCTTAGCCTCCCCAGGTGCTGGGATTACAGGCATGCATCACTGTTCACCTAGCTGTAACTTTGTTCTCTTGTAACGTCTTTGTCTGGATTTGGCATTAGGGTAATGCTGATCTCACAGAATGAGTTAGGAAATATTCTTTTTCCCATCTTCTGGAAGAGATTGTAGAGAATTAGTATAATTTTTTCTTAAAGGTTCAGTGGAATACACCCATGAACACATTTAGTAGTTTCTGTTTGGGAAAGTTATTAATTACTGATTCAATTTCTTTTTTTTTTTTTGGTACCGGGGATTGAACTCTGGACCTTGTACTTGCGAGGCAGGTGGCAGAACCACTGAGCTAAATCCCTGGCCTTGATTCAATTTCTTTAATAGATATAGACTTATTTAGATTGTCTATTTCATCTGAGTTTTGGCAGACTGTAAATAATTGCTTCATTTCATGTAGGCACAGAATTATGTATACTACTCTTTTTAATGTCCATGGGATCTGTAGTAATGTCTCTTTTTTCCATTCTGACATTAATAATTTGTGTCTTCTCTCTTTTTCACTCAGAAAAGCCTCACTAACTAGAGGCTTATCATTTTATTGATCTTTTCACAGATCCAGCTTTTGGTTTTATTGATTTTTCTCTGTTTTCTTCTTTTCACTCACATTGATTTTCGCACTAATTATTTTTTTTCTTTTGCTTACTTTGAATTTGAATTTCTGTTTTTCAGGTTCTTTTTTTAGGGTAAGAGCTTAGATTCCTGACTGTAGTTGATGATGTAATTTTTCTTTTTTGCAAGCACTGCTTTCATGGCATCCCATAAATATTGATAAATAGAATTTTCAAAATTTTTAATTTTTTCTTGAGATTTCTTGTTTGTTATCTAGAAAAGTGTTTTTTAGTTGCTTAAGTATTTTGGAAAATTTCCAGCTATATTTCTGATATTGATTTTTAACTTAATTTCTTTTCTTTTTTGAGACAAGGCCTCATTAGTTCAGGCTGGCCTTGAACTCACAGTGTTCCTCCTGCATGGACCACCATACCCAACTAATTTAATTCCTTTTTGATCTGAGACCAAATGTTGTATGATTCTTGTTCTTTTAAATTGGCTAAGGTATGTTTTATGTCCCAGATTGTGTCTACCTTAGAGAATATTCTATATGAATTTGAGGAGAGAATGTGTCTTGTGCTGTTGGATAAAACAGTCTATAGATGTCGGTTACACCCAGTTCATTGCTACTGCATTGAGTTTAGCTGTGTCCTCCTCTGGATCTACCACTCCTGAATGGAGTATGTTGAAGTCTTCAGCTACAGTAGTGGGCCATCTACTTTTTGCAGTTCTGTGAGTTTTTGCTCACATATTTTAATGCCCTATTTTTAGGTGCAGACATGTTAAGGGTGGTTATATCTTGAGTATTGGTCCTTTTATTATGAAATATTTCTGTTTATCTCTGAAAGCTTTTCCTTGCTCTGAAGTCTGTGCTGTCAGAAATTAATATAGCTATTCACACTTTTTTTTGATTAGTGATAAACATGGCATATCTTTATTTTTTCATTTTTAGTCTATATGTGTCTTTATACTTAAGGTGAGTATCTTGTAGAATAGCATGTACATTTGGCTTGTATTTTGATCCATCTGACAGTCTCTGTCTTTTAATTGGTGGTGTTTTATTGTATTTTTAATTTTCATTTTAAAATTTTTAAAAATTTTACAGTGCTGGGTATATAATCTGGGGCCTCATGCTCATTAGGCAGGTGCTATACTACTGAGTGACATTCCAGGCCTAATTGGTATATTTAGATAATTGGTATTTAAAGTTATTATCGATAGTTGGATTACTATCTACTATATTTGTTACTGTGTTCTGTTCAT